TGATCACACAACTGAAAGAGGTGAGTTAAGACACAGATATTTTAGAACAGATCACAGAAAAGTTTTAATTCAACTTTGTCCTTTTCCTTGAACGTGATGAACATTTCAGCTTTTATCTGCTCACTAAAACATTTATAAACATTTTTTCAGGGTAAATTTTACCTGGAGGACCCAAGCGGAACAGTACAACTGGACATGTCCAAAGCAATATCCTTTCATCTGTTTGGCAGCCCGTCAACAAAAAGTGCTTGATGTGACTTTAGAAAAATAATATGTACCTTAGCTCCGTTCTCACCAGTTTCATAATGGGCTGTACACAGAATCCTGCTTTGTGCTGGCAGAAGGTAAAACTCAATTCAAATATCTTTTTAGCTATAATAATGAAAATAAAGAATACACAGTGAAATTGAATAAGATAGCCAAGTGTATTTCATAAGCACATACTGCACTTCTGTTGTTGAGGTGAAGTTTTATCGTCCATCCAGGTTGGTACGAGGACTCTGTGTTCCATGTCAATGGTTTTGGGTTTCCACCAACAGAGCCTTCATCAGCCACAAGGTCAGTGGGCGGAGAACTGTAATTAAACAAACTTTCAGTCAGTATAGCAAGATGTGCATCCTGACACTACAGATTAAAGGTGAGGTGGGAATTAGGCTTATTCTCCTCTGTGTATGTGAGCATGTTCAGACAACACAGAGAGTTAAAGAATTGTCACATCCATGAAGTAGTTTTATCTTGTTCTTCTTGATATGCAGTGAAAAATGTCATGGAAGTACTTTGAAGGCAAAAACTATATACCTGCTTAAGTAATAAAGTCAGAGATTCTTGTCAGTGGTGTGTGTGAGCCACACTCCTCAGTAACAGACTCTAAAGAATGACTACAACTACAGTTTAATACATAACTGAAGAAAGTTTTATATTAACATAGCTTTAACTTAAGCATTCAGTTTGTTACACTTCACACATGTCTTCACTTTACTGAGGTATAAGTTAATTTTCAGTCTTAAGGTGAATCCAGTATTGTTTTACATGCTCTCTGGACTGCAGGGCTGAATGACCTGCAAAAAAAAACCCACACATAATATTTGATTATTTTTGACAGATTTGCAGATTTGCGATGTGATGTGAGTCACATTTTAAAGGGAATTTTCAGATTTCTTTGCCACTGAAAAAATATGAAAATTATACAGTTTTTGCAGACGTCTGACCAAACTAGTATATATGGGGCCGGGGCATCTTTGCAGCACCACAGTGCTTTTATTTGTAATAAATATGTTGGGACACATTTTTCCTTCATCAAAAAACTGCAGCTCCTGTGATCTTGATGTTGGACTAGGCTATACTGTGATTTCAATAATGTTTCAATAAATTGCTCAACCCAACTGGAAAGTGTTTCTGCTTCCTCACAATATGATTCTTGTGCAAATTCCAGGGCGTACTATGGCAACATGAACTTCTTTGGGGGCCCGTCCACCACTTCGGTGAAAGCTTCTTCCAAGCTGAAGCAGCTGGAAGAGGAGAACGAAGATGCCATGTTTGTGATCATCTCTGATGTCTGGCTGGACAGTGTTGAAGTGATGGAAAAGCTCAACATCATGTTCTCAGGTCTAATATTACAGACTTTAAAAGTCAAGAATACACACTTTGTGAGACACCAGTTACATTGTCACTTTGTCTTCTCTTACAGGATATGCTGCTATGCCTCCCACCTGTTTTGTTTTGTGTGGAAATTTCTCTTCTGCACCATATGGGAAAACACAGATTAAAGCACTCAAAGGTAAGACTACTGGACTCTAATATTTTAAGGCACACTTTGAAATCTGTCTATTACGTTGCACAGATACTGTGGTTTAATTGCATAAACACCCATTACAGGTGTTAATTTGTATTTTGGCACAACCAGACCCTAAGGTTACTGTTCATGCTGTATGCATATAGAGCTTAAACTTAGCATGAGCACTCAGCCCCCTGTGCAGTGTGTCCTGTGATGTTTCTAATAAAGTGAGATGCCATCAGTGTTGACAAAAAAAGAAAAGCTGTGATCTGAAAACTGCACTCCATTCACTGTCTGCTTTTATTTTAGAGTTTTCAATCCCAGTGTGTTAAGTCAGCCACTTTCTGGTGTCATCAAAAATGCTTCGATAGAATGAAAAAAGTCGTGTCAATGAAATTTGTACTGCTTTCTGCTAATAATATTATAATTCAATGCACTTCAAATGCAAAAGTAGAAGAAAGTAGATAATGAATAAAGTGTGTGATATCACAGCCAAAGGCAGCATTACTTAGTGCAATTGTTATGAACAGAAGGTAAGAATAATATGGAGCACTGTAGGGCTGAAGATGCAAAGTTCAGTATTATGGCTGCATAATACTGTTTTAGTCACAACATGTAAAATGCTGCTACAATAATAATAATAATAATAATAATACAAAAACAGCTCACTACAGTTTAGACAATGTGACAGCAGCCATGAGGTAAATCAGTTTGTGTAATTAATTACGCTGCACAATGGTCAGCAAAAATTTCTAACTTGCCAGAAATCCACCTAATTGTCAGAGAGCCAGATGAGTAATCATCGAGGCTCACATCTGTCCTGTGTGTGCCAAAGTTAATAAAAATACATTTTCTTTCTTTCTTTTTTTAAATTTTATTTATGTTTTTAGAATCACTGAAGGCTCTTGCTGATGCGATATGTTCATACCCCAGTATCTCCAGCAGGTAGGAGCTAATAGCTTTCTTACTCTGTTCTGTTTGGGCGGCTGTGGCTCAGGTGGTAGAGTGGTTGTCCTCTGATCGTAAGGTTGGGGGTTCACTCTCCGGCCCCTGCACAGTCGAAGTGTCCTTGGACAAGACACTGAACCTGAAGTTGCTCCCGATGGCAGGCAGCACCTTGCATGGCAGCTCTGTCACCATTGGTGTATGAATGTGTGTGTGAATGGGTGAATGAGAAAACATTGTAAAGCGCTTTTAGTGCCGCTACGGTAGAAAAGCGATATATACGTGCAGTCCATTTACCATTTACCATTCTATATTGTTCCTAACTATTCAAGTTTCAATGTGTTTGACTTAAATGTATTTATCCAAACCTGCAGTAGTCGCTTTGTGTTTGTTCCTGGTCCTGAAGACCCTGGTCCAGGGAGCATCCTGCCAAGGTAAGCCCTCAGAGACATCTGTATGTTAAAATAGTTCTGTGAGATTTGCTCAGTTGTGTGGACAAATGTGGATAAAAATGTTTCTTGTAGGCCTCCCTTAGCAGACCACATCACGGAGGAGTTCAGACAGAGGGTGCCATTCTCTGTGTTCACCACAAACCCATGCAGGTTTGACAAATATGTGGTTTTTACATGATTTGATCAGAGTTTCAGTGTAACAAAAAGTAATTTTACATTCAACAGACACTACTGTTTTTTAAGACTTAGTAGAAATTGTGACTAGACTTGGCACTTTATCTACTGGAAAACTGAGCCTAATAATGGCACATTTCTCCCTGTCAGGATCCAGTACTGCACCCAGGAGATCGTCATCATCAGAGAGGACCTCGTCAACAAGATGTGCAGGAATTGCGTCCGGTTGCCCAGTAACAATCTTGACATTCCAAACCATGTGAGTTTCAGCTTCTTTAAAATAAAACCTGTTCACACCTCACGGAAAGTCTTCCCGAGAAAGAGGTGCACAGTCGTATTTGCTGTGTTGTCACAGGTGTGTTTGCCTTTTTACAGTGTTCTTATTGTTTTTCATTCTTTGTAAATGTTTTTAGAGAAATGAGTAGTTGCTGCAAGTGTTGGTTAAAAAAATAAAAATAAAAAAAAGGTCTCTGCTCTGAAAGCTCTAGTGAGAGTGATTCTATTTATGATAAAAACCCATTGTGAAATGTCTTTTTATTTTTGTAAATAAACCATCTTCTCCTCTTCCTCTCCCCAGTTTGTGAAGACCATCCTATCCCAGGGTCACTTGACTCCACTGCCTCTGTACGTCAGTCCTGTGTTCTGGGCCTATGACTACTCCTTGCGTGTCTACCCAGTACCTGATGTCATCGTCTTTGCAGACAAATACGACCCCTTCAGCATCACAAATACTGACTGCCTTTCTGTCAACCCGGTATGCAAAAGAAGAAACCTAAGTCAATGCCTCAAAGTCTTCTTGGATAGATAAACAATGCCCTTTGCAGCTGGACGTGTGGCATTTATCAGTAAATTGTTATTCATTTATTTCTGCAGGGTTCTTTCCCAAGAAGTGGCTTTACTTTCAAGGTGTACTATCCATCCAACAGAACCATTGAAGACAGGTGGGAAATATATATATATTTTTTTAATTTCCTTTTTTTTCTTCTTCTTTTTGCTTGCTTAATATTGATAACTGTCATTTAAACAGTTATTTTCATACTAATATGTTGTTTTTATGTCTTCATAGCAAACTTCAAGGCCTCTAAAGAAAATCATGGATTCACAAGTAGATCTGTTCTCATTTGCTTTGTACATTGCCTTTGTATGATACTGAAAACTGAGTAGTAATCAATCCATTGTATGTGTCTGTGTTTTGTCATGAATAATAAAGGTTTTATTCTTTGTAACTACTGAACATTCTGACCCTTTTCGATATGCATAGTTTGAGCAAATTGTCTTGAAGACAATTATAAGAAAAGGTATACTGCAGAGTTTTTGAATGAAATTTCACCTGTTACAGAGTGCCGAAGTTCATTTTTATGGCTTCATATTTTCGAGAGATGCACTATGAATAGGTTTGGTAATAAAAGTGGATAAGCAGGTGAAGACTAAAGGCTGTAAGAGCTTTTATTTATAGATTTGGGGACTCATTGGATAGCATAATTTTGTATGCTTTCAAAAAAATAAATAAATACATACAAGAGATGATGAATTTTAAGTTCTTTAAAACCACCAGTTATAAAATACAAACGCTATGCTGGAATGTAACCGGTTTCGCTCTGACCTTATCAACATGGCGGACGTGAGTACTCGCTTACTTCCGGTCGGGCCCCCAGAATGCTTGTGATGACCTCACATCAATGGCGGACTGCTTTTGAAATTTGCAGGAAAAACAAACATCAGATAAGGTAAGGTGGTGACAGTTTCGAATACATATCGCACAAGGCAATTACACATTGTTTAAGTTCGACATTAAGACGGTAAATATGATTTTGCAACGCCACTTTTTCGCAACTGTCAGGGTATTTGGCGTTTAGAAGTTTCCAAATGCTATGTTGCTAACGGTTGTGAACACTTGAACTGACAAACAGCTGGTGAGTGCATGCTAGCTCGGTTAGCCGCCAAACAATTCATTTTCATCAAATATATCAAATAACTCCAGTCTTTAGGTCGTGTTCTCTCTCATTTAAACGATATGCGAACAGCTAATGGTCAGTTAGTAACCTAAATAGTTAAGCTAGCAAAGTAGGTCAGCAGTAATCGTGCTACCAGCTAACGTTATGCGACCTGCTGCCCTGAAATAGCTCGGTTTACCATAAAGTAAAATATCGAAGGCATATCTAGTAAAGATTATGTGCTCTATACAGAAAATGCGGGTGCTGCTTTTTTTTTTTTTTTTTTTAATAACTAGCAGAAAAAAATCATGTCATTTCTTGACGCCCTCTTTTTTTTTTTTTTGGAATGTGGGTCATTCTCTGTTGGTTATTGGAAAAAACTAATTAGTTAATTGAATAATCCTATCACCACTAACCCATATGATTTTTTTTTTCTTCCTCTCACTTCTTGCCTTGATGCGAGACAGGAAAGACTGACATGGCAGAAAGAATGGCAGAAATGGAGGAAGACATAGGAGATGTTCCAGCCGGAGAGGACGACAATGACTCAGACAGAGATGAAGATGACAGATTGTTTGCTTGGATGGTAAATGACGATATGGATGAGGACGAGGAAGATGAGGAGGTGGAGGATGAGCAGCCATTGGACACCGAGGCATCTGAATCATTTGAGCTGGACACCCCGGCAGAGCGCAGTGGTCACATCGCAGTGGTTGATAGAAACATTATGTATGTGTGGGGTGGCTACAAGGTATGTGTAAAAATGATTTTATCACGTTTATGTCATTTTCCACGGTTTCTGCATTTGTTTTCAACTACACTGTATTCTCCCCTCTCTGTAAGAATGCTCAAAACCATGGGTTCTTTGACTTGTACCTGCCAAGAAATGAGATCTGGACATACAACATGGAATCAGGAGTGTGGTGAGAACATATGTTCAGCAAATCAGTAACGCTGTCATCAGCTCTACATTCATGTCCTGTCGTTTTCACACAAAGTAGAACAATAAAAAATGTTGTAACTGTTCACAGGACAAAGCATGTAGCTGGTGGTAACCTGCACACTTCAATGTCAGGTAGCTGCGGGGTGTGTGTTGATGGCGTCCTTTACCTTTTTGGAGGTCATCACGCCAGGGGAAACACGAACAGGGTAAAGCTTGTGCACTACGTAAAACAAATTCATCATTTTGTGTTATTTTCAAATGACTGCATCATGTTTGCTCATCAGACCTTGAGGCCTGTCAGTGTACTGTTTGTGCTGATCATCTTTCAGAAGTCCTGTATTCTGTGCTCTGCTTTAAAGATCTATCGCCTGCCCCTGAGAGCTCCCAGCCTCGTGTGGGAGGAAATGAGGGATCTTAAAGGTCTTCCTCCGTCGTGCAAGGACAAGCTAGGTTGCTGGGTTCAGAAGAACAGGTGAGAGGATGAGATTCTTTTTATGGTTTAACATGCTAAGCAGACCCCAGGTATCATGTGTACTTGAACATTTCAGCACTCTGCTTTTTATTGATAAATAAGCTCTTTTGAAACAAAATGTCAACTTAAATGTGTTGTATCTGGAGAAATATTAATTTACAAATCTCCACAAAAAAGCAGCAAAACAATACATGTCTCACATTGTGTGCTGGCAGACTAATATTCTTCGGAGGCTATGGATACCCTGCACAGGGATCCCATCGAGGGACTTTTGAATTTGATGAATCGTCTTCTCTTGTGGTCTGTATCCAAAAAAAAAAAAAAACTTTTTTTGTTTTCCTGAATAAAAGTTGTTGCAGGATCATGGATTTAAATGTAAATGTGTCTCTTTGGTTTTTGCTGCTGCTCCAGTGGGACAGCCCTGGGCGAGGCTGGAACAACCACATCCACATCCTGGACCTGGAGACATCAACATGGAGTCAGCCCATCACCACGGTAACAACACTAGCTTCACCACAAATAACTTCATACATACATGTAAATGAAGGCATCTGACTGGCCAGGAGCAAACAGCAGCCTCTCCCTTTTCCATTCCTTGTTTTCCAGATCCACTGCAGCTCTTTTACAACACTAAAATAAACTATACTGAAGATGTAATCTTGAACATTTTCTCTGTCTTGTTTTGTCCTGATGTAGGGGGACACCCCATCACCGAGAGCAGCTCATGCCTGTGCTACAGTTGGCAACAGAGGCTACGTGTTTGGGGGACGATACAAGGTAGGCAGGGGGAAAGTGAAATGTCACGACAAGGATGCAACCTCTTTCTTGCGATTCTTTTTCTTTTTTTTTTGACATCTTCAATATGCTACTTACATTCATGTATTTCTTTGTATTCCTATTCTTTTTTTTTGGCCACCAATCCCAATGCATATTACTTTGTCCACAGAACTTCCGACTTAACGACTTGTACTACATTGACCTGGATACATGGGAGTGGCATGAAATGTAAGTTTTGTTCTTTAAATTGTGTTGTGATCTAGCGCAAACTGTGAAAACTTTCGGATCAATTTATCAGAGCATACAGACAGATTCATGATGTTACTGAGTTTGTTTCGGGTCAGTTCAGTTCTTGAAAAAAGCCCACATTTGTTGGTCCTAATGTAATAAACAAAGAAGGACCCATGACTAACACTGATCTCACTATCTGTTTGTATGCAACAACACTTATTCATCTGCTTTTCACTTTGCCATATGTACATGTTTCCTACACCTGCCAGCATCGTGTCAATTCTGTTTTTCTTTCCTGCCCTGCTGTAGGAGTGTTCCCCAGCACGGTCCTGTGGGCCGGTCTTGGCACTCCTTCTCTCCTGTGTCACCAGAGCACATCTTCTTATTTGGAGGTTTCACCACAGAGAAAGAAACACTGAGTGAGTCCAGCAGTCAACCTTGAGTCGCTAACATTCATCTTAAAATGACGCCTGATCTCACAGAGGTGTTCTCATCTTGTTTCTCAGGTGACGCTTGGCTGTATTGTGTGAGCAAAAATGAATGGAAGCCTTTCAAACACAGTCACACAGGAAGCCCGAGGTACTCACCTCATTGGGAATGTTTAGTTGTGTGTTTGTGGTTAAGTCCGTAGCTCAGTGTAAATGGATTCAGTATTTGACATGGTTGTGTGTTTTAGGCTGTGGCACACGGCGTGCTCTGGTCCTGATGGAGAGGTGTTTGTGTTTGGAGGGTGTGCCAACAACCTGTTGTCTCATCACAGAGCTGTAAGATGGATGTTGTATCTTCATGCAATACACAGTTCATGTACAGTTACACGATTCATTTTGTCTTCTACTGAATTTGACTTTTTTTTTTTCTTTAAAACTTGTCAGGCTCACAGTAATGAGTTGCTGGTTTTCAACGTTCAGCCCAAATCATTAGTTCGGTGAGTGTGTACACAAGCAATAAGCTCTTTTTCCCCCCCACCCCCACACCTGAAGCTGAACCTAATATTGCTCCTCATCTGTCCAGGTTCTGTATGGAGACTGTTCTACAGCACAGAGAGCGTTTGTCTAGCTACTGGGACTGCTTGCCTAAACACCTCCTGCACAGCCTCAAACAGAGAATGGCACGAGTCAACACACTGGGCTCCTAGAATCAGAGGAGGCCAGTCATAATCATCTAGTCCGGAGTATTACAGGACAAAATATGTGTATGTGTGTGTGTGTGTATGTATGTATGGAAGACATGAGTGTTTCTTTCAAAGCAGGTAGTCCTTTTAGAGCATTAGTTTGATGTGTGTGGACACTTGTGTACATAAAAAAAAAAAAAAAATCTCTAAGCAATAGTGAACAGCTGTGGTCGTGATAGACACAATAAGGTTCACAGGCGATCCTCAGAGCTGTTTGTGACCTTTTTAGGTTTAATATCTCCTAATTCTTTCATGGCCAGTAGAACCTTTGGTGGAGTAGCAGTGGGGGGTGATGCTCAGACTGTTGTTAGGTTGGTAGATACAAGAGAGCAAAGCCCTGCACTACTTTTGGTTTAGTTTCTGTTTTAAGCTTTCTTTGCTCACTTTCATTTTCAGAGGGACTTCTTTCATCACTCCTTCTGTGAAGCTGAAATACCATAGCATGGGTTTCTGTCCATGCTACAACACTTACTACTGTACAGAATTGTATTTTTTTCCCCAACTACAGCTATAATGACATGGATCGTCTGTTAAAATTGGATGTTTTATGTGTAGTTGCAGATACCTATTTAGCCAAATGGGTAGAAAATATGGAGAGAAACCGCCACTCATGTTTCAGCTTTTCAGGGAGAGCACAAAAGAAACAGAAAATGCATTGTGTGATTAAAGGTAGTGGAAAAAAATTGAATTCAGAAAGGCTGCAGACTTCAGTTCAACTTTTTAGCAGCTTTCTCTTCAAGATTATGCTTCATCCTGCAGGTTTATCAGAGAGTGCAACGGATTGTTCTGATTTTTTTTTTTTTTAAAGAACGCATGATGTTAAACACAGATGGTAATTTTAACTGATCTTCCTCAAAAACCAGCACAAAGTGTCACCATTGTCTCAACACTAAGTACAGTGGTGCAAAATCCAAAGTGGACTGAAGCAGGTTCGTTTAACTGCAGCATTTATATGTTGTTTTGTTCGATTACTAGAACTAATCCTTGAGGTGATCTCAAATACAGATGTTTGCTTGATCTTGGGTGATTTAAGTTGTCACAGACCTAAAACTAGTGCTTTAAGCTACACAAGACTATCTACTCTGGAGCCACAGAAATGTTAATTTTAGTTTTAATTTGTATATATAGTTATTTATATATTTGTGAGGAAATGTGTGGGTTCTGTGTTCTCAAAAAGGCTTTCACAGCCTATAAATTGTCACAAGTGGCTCCTGTAGCACTTGAATTTTATTTAATCAATAACTTAAAATACTGCGAGTGTATTGGATGTTGAGCCACGTTGCACTGAAATGCCTCATGTCAGTAGGGCTTTGTTTGTACTTGCCTGGTTTGCACAAAGTTCCCTTGATGTTTTTTTTTTTTTTTTATAGGATATGATGCAAACGGTTACTGCAATGCATAATTTGTACTCAAAAAATAAATGCATACAATAAGTTGTGTTATTCAACTTTGTTCATTTACATGTTGCTGACCAACAAATACAATCAATCTTTAAAATAAAAATTCATATTCCAATGAGGGCAGGGTAGTGATGAACAACTTGCAGCCCCCATGTTTGAATTTGCTCACTGAACTGAATTAAACTGCAGTTCTGTGCTGATGAAATACTGTAAATTTCGTCAGTCTTGCCATTTCTGTATTCAGCCATCTCTCATTTCTTCTTGGCAGCCAGCAGGTTTGGAGCAGACACCTTTACTTTTCCTGGCATATTTCTGGAGAGGTCTGAATCCTGCAACACAGGGCGATGAAATAAGGGACAGAGTTTTAATCGTAACACCAAGAGAAACAATGCTAGTGTATGATTATTGATTGGAATAATCTGTTATTTGTTTATGGGTAAACGGAAGGGACTCATTTAAGATCCTGGTCTTAACTGTAACAACAATAATATGAAAGAGACAAGCAGCAAATCCCAAAGTTCAACAAGCTGAAATCTGAATGTTTGAGAGTTTTCTCTAATAAATAAAATGTTATTTGATTATCAACAGTGCATTTTGTTTTTCTAATGGTTAACGTTGCAGCACTACAAATGAGTTTCTAACTAATTGAAATTAGCTTCAAATATCTAATATGCAGCTTTGATAAGATCTGCTTGAATTCTCTAAAAACTAAGGAAAGGTGCTTGAATCCTTCCTTGCTTGTTTCCTTCAGCATTTGATATACTGGTCTGTTCTCTATCAAAGTAAAGGAGATAATGTTGCCATGTTGTGGCTGCAAAGTTCAAAGCAACAGCATCTACTGTTGCAGTCAGTCTCTGATTTGTTGTCTTTTTCTTATCTCTAAGTGAATTCTCCTTCATAGCTTTCCTTGACTTCATGATGTTTTCCATCAAAGTTTAGAGAAAGTGTTTAGGTAACAACACAGTTCTGAATAATCGACTGCAACCTTCGACTTGTGTTCAGCAGATAAGCACAAGGCAGTCATGACGTGTTTACCTTGACACTGCGGAACAGGTCCTTCTCTCTGGTTGAGGCCTCTTTGGCTTTCATGAAGCTGAGCACTGCAGTGCGTGCAGCTGTTAGGAACAAAAACATAATAAAATAACCTGACTTAGTCTTTTTAACAGAGGAAAACATTAAGCAAAGGCTTTATGCGTATCAGAACAGATCACCATTCTTACCTTTTCCTTTCTTCTGAGAGCCTGGTGTCAGTTTCACTTTGTGTCTGTGGAAAACAAATGACTCATTAGCCTGCAGACTACTCTGTATTTTTTCTCTCCTATCTTTTACAAAAAGGTTAATTGCACGTACTTGTAGCTGGAAAGGGCAGTGTATGGAGCACAGACTGGCACTGCAAACAGCAACACATCCTCAGAATGAGGCTGGCCTGTCAGGGAGGTGAGCAAATTCTCTGCTTCCTGGAGAAACACATGAATGATCCAAAATGAAGAATTTTTTTGGAGAGAGTATTTTGGAAGGATGGAGATTTTTTTCTAGTACAGACTATTTGTCCACATTTGAATGTTTGCATTCAAAACCAACCTCTGCTCCCGGATTGTCCTGGTCCACATCGTCTTCCTGGAAGAGAAGACAGCATTGATGACTTCAGGGAACAAAATTCATAAGTAGCCAAGAGTTATTCAAAGCTACACAAGTCAGTATTCTGTATATACACATTTAGTCTATAACGTAAATATGGAAGATCTACACCTTTGCAAATAACAATGTTAGCATCACCAGACAAATAGTACATTAAAGACACTATTACAGGATAAGTCCTGGTACCTTATCCTCCTGTTCTGCAGGACCTCCCTCCTCTCCAGGCTGCCTCTCCTCCTCCTCCCCTCCAGTCTGCTCTGGTTTCTTCACAGCTGTCTCCACACTACGAGGTTTCTGCTGTTGTTTCTGAGAGGCCGGTTTCCTGACAGGTTCCTCTTTCCCCTTCCCTTTCTTTCCTTTCTTCCCCTTCTCCTTCTCCTCCTTTGTGGAACCGGCTGACTACAGGAGAAAAGCAGCAGAAATGTCATTTATTGCCACAGTTTGAAGAACAGTACATTCAAATTGCCAGAACACTTAAATCGGGTAGAAGTCACATAATGGCAGTGTTGGTGTTCAGCCAGTACGGGTCGTACTTGTTGACAGTTACACAGCTGTTTTTTTGGTTTTTCATCCTCACCCCAAGCAGCTGCATCATCAGTTCTCTGTCCTCTTCATCCTGGTCTTTGTACTTCTCTTTGATCTTCTTCAGTTTGTTCTGTAGTAACAACAGAAGAAACATAATCAGCACAACGGAAATCAGTTAAAGTTCAAGATCTGATCATCAAATATGAAAACATGTGATATGGTTAGTAAAAAAATCTTTACTTCTTCCAAAACACTATTTGTTTGGTCGTTTGGATTAGGATACATGATTTCATACATAATGATTCTGTGATTAAGAAAAAGCATCAGCCCTCACTGATAACTGAAAAACGTACGACTGTTGCTTTTAAAATCATAATAGTATTTGAGGCCTCCTACTGACTGGTAATTTTCTTTCTCTCTTTTGAAATCTATCTCTTAAAAAACTGCCTGATTGGCTAACTAAGGTCTTGTTTTAAAGTTATGTGTTAGATCTGAGTCTTAGCAAAATGAAGACCTTCTCTTACCTTCTGACCTCTCTTCAGTGGCGGCTGGGACGGCCCTCCTCCACTTTTGGAGCCCTGATCCACCGCTGATCCACTGGATGAAACCTCAGGCTTCTCCTCGACGTCATAGCCTTCCTGTTTCTGCTTCTTCTTCTTCTCTTCTCTAAGGTTGAGAAAAAGAAAAGCACAGGAGGATTCAATCAGTTTCTGGCTATGTAGGCTTTCACTAAAAACAGCCACCTTCATCTGCTTTTCACATGAAGAAAGGCTTTCCTTGCATGTATCTTGTTCCGTATCCTCACCTTCTCTGCTTGGCTGTCATGTGTTTCTTCCCTTGTGAATCTGCATCAGCCTGAAGGGAAATTAATGAAATAACATCTGTGAAAGAAGTCACAAGACATTTTGATTTGACTTTGATTGAATGTTGGTAATCATTACCTGGGTGATGGTTTCTTTTTTGAAGCCGGGGTTCTGAGTGCTCCTGGAAACAGAAAGAGAATTTACTGAGGTGCAATTACACAACTATTGTAATGGTTAAGTAGAAAGTGGAAAGGCCTTTCTACGCTTTGGCATGTGGTAAAACTACCTGCTAGGTTGTAAATGAGAGAGGGAGATAGTTGTATCTGGAAAGCTGAATTCTTCACTCTCTTCGTCCTTCATCTCGTTTTCCTGACCACTGTCTTCCTCTCGACACTCTTCTTCCTCCATGTTGCTCTGCTCAGACAGCATCTCTCCTCTACTTGCTGCAGCGTCTGTTTCTCCATCCTCCTCCTGTACCTTTTCCTTTTTAATCTTCTTTCCCACCTCCTTGGTCTCTCCATCTCCTGCTTTCTCTTCACCCTGATCTTCGTTGCTGCTGTCATCATCTGCACAGGCAACAGTAACAGTTACAGCACCTGCATATAGTTTTAACTAGAACAGGAAATGAAAGTGTCCTCCCACCTATCAGCTCCTCTCCCTCCTCTAACAGCTCAGCAGTTCTGGACGTGACCTCCTCCATGTCCTCCTCTACCGTTTTCACCTTCCGCTCTCCACGGTGCCGAAACACACTTTGCTCATCCACCTGCAGGAGAAAGAAAATGAGATGAAACTTGTTTGAAAATGATAGAGTTAAAATGTACTCAGTGCTTGTGATGGTGTTTACCTTGAAAAGGAATCCAAAGCCCATTATCAAGTAAGAAGGAGGGAGAAAGTTTTTCTTTCCTGGAGAGAAAAATAACAAAATGAGCATCATCATCATGTTTCACTTGCCAATTAAACTTATTTAAATGTTCATGTGTTTGAAAACTAGTGTTTCATACCTCTGATCATGAAGCTTCCAGTGGTTAGGTACTCTCCAGTGGGAGCTGTCTTAGACACCTGAAAAATAGTTCCAGCAATTTATAAACAACGCCAATATTTCTACTAAATAATTATATTATCGTGGTCAAAAGGATTCACAATAGCTTTACTATAGTGACATCTCATCAAATTCTCTTTGACTTACTTTATTGTGTTTTGTCTCTTTTTTTGACAATTAAATTCAAAATATGAATGGAAGAAGGTTGAAAGAGTCTGTGACTTTAATTGTACTGTGAGTTGTTCCATTGTTGGAGTGTCAACCAGATAGTTACTAGTGCTGGATTACTTACAATATTATCATTTGTGGATTATTAACATGTTGGTTTTTCAGTGTTTAAATATCACATCACAGTTATTGTCAATATTGTTATGTCACCATACCCCTCATTTCTACTACATCAACATTACAGTCACATTTAAACCTTTTTTTTTGCTGCTCATGATGATTTTGTAATCTTCTGCTCTATATCTGTAAGTAAAAGGCAACCTATGGAGCAAAGTTTTTTGAGTCGGTCTCTGTTTTGTTTGAATGTATCAGCCAACAGCAGTGGCAGTAAATCAAATGAATTTAAAAAAATGTAAACAGTCATCAGCTCAGCAAATGTTTGATCAGGAATGAAACACACTAAACATGTTTATTAGTTCTCGAGGATACACAGTATGTTATGAGTGTTTTGTTTTGTTTGTCTAACTTGTTCACAAGAAACAGGTTTAAGTTTCGGTAAGTTTTGCTGCACAGCTTCAAGTATGCTGCAGACTATAATATAAATCACACTTAAACAACAGGTTGATGATAATAAGAAAAACAGCAAACAAGTTATCTCCCTCCAGTGCAGAAAAAAAAAGGTAAACATGAGAAACAGCTGCTGAATAATATTGATGACTCACCTGGTGATGATGAACCCACCAAGCACTGGTGATAATCTTGGCATCCCATGCGGCGCTGTAGCACACGGCCATCGTGCCAGCTTCTGTCAGGGTACGAGGAGGGATAGGATCCCCTGGTGCAAGTAGCAAGAGAGTGGAAATACAAATAAGTTACAAATGACATGATGGTAAACTGAGCAAATGTAGACATGCAGTGGAAAATGCAGTGAAAAGCACATGTGCAGATGTACCTGAGGGGTTTTTGATGACACAACTAGTTGCTCCATGGAGGTCAGCGTGAACGTAGATATCACCTGAGAAAGCAAAGGTACAGATGATGTGATAAACCAGCTTTCAAACATGTCTGAAGGAAGAGTGTGTGGAATTTGGACTACCGGTCCGGAGGTAGCGTTTCACAATCATCTCGTTCTGCTGCTGGTCTCTTCCTGCAATGACGAGGTAATTCTCTGAGCTGATGAACCACAGGAACTTTTCAAACCTGCCAAAAGCAAATAAATTGTTGAAGGAAATAAATAATCTACTCTACTATACATAAACCTCAACAGTATACACAAAGTCAGCTGTGTCTCACCAGTAGACTTTCCTGGCCTTCTGAATGGTGGTTACTGTCTGGACATCTTTTAGTGTTTGCTGTGTTTTTTTCTCAGCAGATTTCATCGCCTTCAATGACATTAAATTGGAAAAAATATTGATCAGAAATTCTGAATACAAACACAAAGTATAATACTCGTTAGATGCAAAACTGTCAACATTACAACAGCTATGAGGCACACAAACAATGTTCTACAAATGCTTGCTGCTGATCGTACAATCATATGAAAATCATGAGGAAGATGCAGTTATGTCACCTTATCTGCTGCTTCAATGGTTTTCTGTTCCTTCTTCTCAGCAGTGCGCTTGTAGTCGTAGTACCTAAAATAAGCACAATGTGTCCATCAACTTTCATCACAAATATATAATTTTGAGTCTAAAACCTTAAAGGTAAACCTACTTCTTGGCATTAGCATAAGCTGACAGGCCAAGATCCACATCCACCAACATGGGCTTGTTCCTCTGCGGCTTCTTGTTCTGCCCCTTGTCTTTATTTTTGTTTTTCTTCCCTTTCTCCTCCACTATGTCTTTGTTCTCTTCCTCTTCCTGGTCCTCCTCAGAAATATATGGATTCCTGGAGGAAAACAGCGCTGAGTATATCACTTGGATTTCATATCATGTAACAACTGGCAGGAAGAGCAGCTAAACTGAAGTTTATTGCTTGCTGCGATGGTCTCACTTTAAAAGCATGGTGATATGATTGGTCTGCAGCTTCAGCTCCTTGATGGCACACGCCACGGGGTCTCCAGCAGCTTGTGCTTCTTTGACAATGATGCCGATCTCAGTCCAGTCCACCTGGTTGGCCAGAGCGCTGCGCACCACCTGCAGCGCCCTCTCCACCACTGACAGGTTCATCTCCACCAGTTCACCCTTTATTCTATCCACCTCCTGCAACACACAAGTCAAGCTTCCTAATGCAAGTCAAGAAAAACTGGCTGACCGGTGCAAATTTTGATTATTTGCAAAAACACCCAACGTAAATGATTTTCACATTCATACATGAGAAAGCAGGATCTATTCAAAAAGACAAGCTGTTTGTCGCTAACCTGTGCTTGGTGCAAAGCCTCCAGCCTCTGCTCGTGGTCCTTCTTCACGTTTTCCAACTTCTTCAGAGCCTGTTTCTCCTGCTGCAAGGCCTTCATGTCGATCTTTTGGCTCTCCATCTTAGAAAAGAACTCATCCACTGCCTGTGTAAGAGGATCTCATTGAATTGGCATGTCACTTTAGAAAAAAGTATTTCAATCAGTATTCTTTATCAAAGAAGTAGAACCAAATAAGCAAACATACTACTATTAGTATATATATATTCACCTTGTCAAAAGTGTCAAACTCCAAATAAGGGCTCTTTGCATGCTGGGCAAAGAGGAATGGATGGAATTCATCATATCTGTAAGTAGGAATCATTGACAAAAACTGATTAAGCATAATTTAAACAGGAGAATTGTCTAATGTAAAATCGGTAGAATAGAACAGAATAGAATTTTTTTTTTGATCCCCCAGTGGGGGAAATTTACCCGCCACAGCAGCATCCAAAAATATAGAAAGTACAAGAAAATAGCAATAATCAAGTAATATGCATCCTGGTGTCCGCACACAGCAGACATACATACGTAAGAAGTTCTTCACTGGGTTTGCCCGGAGTTAAACTTGGTTTCTTTTCACTTTTCTGAATGATGTAACCCTGGATTTAAGAAAAAAATAAAAGTTTAGGAATGGCAGAAATCTATTGCAGAATCACAAATGACTTTTTTTTTCTAACTAAATACTGCTCATGAAACACCTCTTACTTACTTTGCCACTGAAGTTCTCAGTTTTTTCCATGTATGTTTCTGCAATCTGCAGAGCTTCCAGGATTTTAGGTGCAACTGAAAAAAAAAACAGCCAGGCCAAATGTATTTACAGGATTACAGAATATATTTAAAGTTTTACTCCAACTGTCCTACTGTACCTTGGGCTGCATCAACCTGACTGTCAACTTTGACGAAGCCTGGCAGTCCTGCTTCTATCAAACTATGTTCTATCAGAGTGGCTCCGTAGGCTAAAGATGCATTTGGAAAGGACATAAAACATGATTCAGTATTGTTTCTTATATTACAGAAGAAGACAGAAAATAGTCATAGGTTTCTGTTGCCTGGCGACTTACGGAGGTGAGGGTTCAGGACTCTTTTCACCTGCTCTCCATTTGGGGCTTTGCTGAGGATTTCAGAGAGTCTATATAAAAACAACAATAAAGAAAGTCATGACATATGTTCACCGAATTCTGAAGGATGTTCATTTTATCCACAACCGGCACATGTTGAGATGTTACCCCTCCAAGCTGATGAGGGGTTCAGGGGGTCTGGCACTCTCCACGGGGTATCGCTCTCTCACAGCAATCTTAACATCTTCTGCCTCTGCGTTACGAAACCTCAGCAGATTCAGGATCATGTACTCGTGGTCTGCAAGTATGATGTTACCCTAAAAATGAACAACAGCAAACACACATGCATCAGTGTCACGGTTTGGTTGAAGGTGAATATGTATTTGTACAGTGCTGGATGTGAGTAGTGCAGTTTTCTAACCCTGTCGTAAAGTTCAATGATCAAGTGGTAGGCGGCCTCATCTGAACCAAACTGGATGTCAACAATCCTGTCAATCCCAAGCTGCTTGACCTGGGTCAGTCGCCGTGTTTTCAGATGTTTTCGACACTGTTGAAAAAAAACGTTGCTTTAAGATTAAGCTTCAACACAGCAACCAATCCAGCAATTAAGCAAGTATTGATCTGGTGTGGGAGATATAATTCTGAAAAAACACAGAAAATAAGCATTTGCACTCATGTTGGCATTTACTGCATAAATCCCTTTGTTTCAGGATGGAAAAAAGCAAAGGTCAGATTGTCTAGTTATCAAATGAAGGTATATAAAGTATATACAGTATAAGAGAAGGTCACACATTGTCAGTTGAATATGACTTTGTATGTATACACATGGACAAATTTGTTGGTACCCCTCAGTTAGTGAAAGAAAAACCCACAATGGTCACAGAAATAACTTGAATCTGACAAAAGTAATAATAAATAAAAAATCTATGAAAATTAAGCAATGAAAATCAGACATTGCTTTTAAACTGTGGTTCAAAAGAGTTATTTTAAAAAATAAACTCCTGAAACAGGCCTGGACAAAAATGATGGTACCCCTAGAAAAGACTGAAAATAATGTGACCATAGGGACATGTTCAATCAAGGTGTGTCCTCTAACTAGCATCACAGGTGTCTACAAACTTGTAATCAGTCAGTCGGCCTATTTATAGGGTTACAGGTAGTCACTGTGCTGTTTGGTGACATGGTGTGGACCACACTGAACATGGACCAGAGGAAGTGAAGGAGAGAGTTGTCTCAGGAGGTTAGAAAGAAAATGATAGACAAGCATGTTAAAGGTAAAGACCATAAGACCATGTCCAAGCAGCTTGATGTTCCTGTGACTACAGCTGCACATATTATTCAGAAATTTAAGATCCATGGGACTGTAGCCGACCTCCCTGGACGTGGCCACAGGAGGAAAATTGATGACAAATCGAAGAGACGGATAATACGAATGGTAACAAAGAGCCCAGAACAACCTGTAAAGACATTAAAGGTGAACTCCAAGGTCAAGGTACGTCAGTGTCAGATCCCACCATCCGTCGTTGTTTGAGCCAAAGTGGACTTCATGGGAGACGACCAAGGAGGACACCATTGTTGAAAACAAATCAGAAAAAAAGCCAGACTGGAATTTGCCAAACTGCATGTTGACAAGCCACAAAGCTTCTGGGAGAATGTCTTATGGACAGACAAAACTGGAACTTTTTGGCATCAGCTCTATGATCACAGACGCAAAAATGAAGAACATTGTCCCTACTGTGGAACATGGCGGAAACTCTGTTATGTTCTGGAGCTGCTTTGCTGCATTGGGCACAAGGTGTCTTGAATCTGTGCAGGGTCGAATGAAACCTCAAGACTATCAAGGTATTCTAGAGAGAAATGTGCTGCCCAGTGTCAGAAAGCTTGGTCTCAGTCGCAGGTCATGGGTCTTGCAACAGGATAATGACCCAAAACACACAGCTAAGAATGGCTCAGAGGAAAACACTGGACTGTTCTGAAGTGGCTTCTATGAGCCCTGATCTAGATCCTATCGAACATCAGTGGAAGGAGCTAAAACATGCCGTCTGGAGAAGACAGCCTTCAAACCTGAGACAACTGGAGCAGTCTGCTCATGAGGAGTGGACCAAAAAAAACTTGCTGAGAGGTGCAGAAATCTCACTGACAGTTACAGAAACCGTTTGATTGCAGTGATTACCTCAGAAAGTTGTGCAACAAAATATTAAGTTAAGGGTACCATCATTTTTGTCCAGGCCTGTTTTAATGAGTTTATTTTTAAAAAATAATTCTGTTAAACCTCGGTTCAAAAACAATGTCTCATTTTCATTGGTTAATTTTCATAGAATTTTTATTTATTATTACTTTTGTCAGTTTCAAGTTATTCTATGACCACTGTGGGTTTTTCCTTCATTAACTGAGGGGTACCAACAATTTTGTCCACGTGTGTATAATTGATAATTTGGGCAGAATAAATGAATTATAGCACATTAAAATGTATAGAATGTCACTACAAATAGACTAATAAAAAAGGTTTGGCAGGTCTAATAAAACAAAAATTGGATTTAACAGCATCAAGACGTTCTTACTTTCATTGCAAAGCCTGAAGGCATCATGTTCTTGGGCCATTCGAAGTCTGTGGAGTGAATCCGAGTCCCAGATTCAATCAGGAGAACAGCTTTGCTATCAGGCCTGAGACAATATGACAGCACTCGGTTACACATCCCGACTAAAAGTGATGGAGGCAACTAAGTACATTTACTAAAATTCTGTCCTTAGGTGCAGATCTGAGGTCCTGGATAATTACAGTACTTCCATTCAATGTTAAATTATACCTTTACTCCACTGCATTTCAGAGGAAAAATATCAGACAATATTTTTTTTTAACTACATTTAATTAACAGTTACAATGCAGATTCTGATTTCATACTGACATGCTGAAGAAAAATATAAATGCAGCATGTCAGTGATAATTTTGACTTAGAAGAAAGTAAAAATCTTCTATTTTGGGGGGTTGGCAAGAGTTACATTTAGCCAACTATGAACAAAAAAGTTTTAAGCTGTTCAGCTGGTCAGGTGTGGCTTGAAAGGACAAATATCAGATAGTATTACCAGCACACAGACATTACTTTGACCAGTGATTATAAATAACCACCTTAAAATGCAGCAGTTTTCAAATGACACAATGCCACAGATGACAAGAAAAAGACAGGACTGGACTGTTTGCATGCCGGATGTTGACATGCCAGTTAGGGCCATAGTCAGGCACTCAAATGTCCACAATCTATCATATACGAAACAGTGTCAGACAACATTATTTAAAAATAAACAAATAAAAATTCTAAAATGCTCCTGCTTATTAATTAATGCACCAGTTAGAATTTTCAAATAATTCATCAACAAGTGTTGTTATTGCAACTGTTGCATAATGATTACCTGTATTTTTTATACTTCATATTCATCATATATTTCATACTTATCGTGATTAACTCAAATTACAGTTTTGAAAGCATTGATGTCTGTCATGGACTACTTGAGTGTTGTGCTATTTCTGCTTTACTTTGAAGCTTCAAGTCCTGTGAAACATTTTAGTGAAACTTTCAGAGACACGTTTCCAAACTGTCCTTACTTTTGCAGACGGATGAGATACGTCTTATTATCGATGTCATACACGTTGTTCACTCTCATGCCCATGTAGCTGTAAAAGAAGGAGATTAAATCAATGAAATGCTGAGCAACATCTGTAAACAACTCCACAGTAGTCGTGGTTGCAGCAGTCTAACGAGCCTAAGTTAGCTTAGCCTAGCAACAAACCACCTACTTGGCATTGATTTCGGCAAGAACTGCCCTGATATCCACCGTGGTGAATCTCGTTTTCATGGTGAATTAATTCCTGGGTACAGTTACAGAAAAAAAAGAAAGGTGAACATTAAAAGAAAAATTCACATTTCTGGAGCAACGTCAATAAGGAAGACATGCAGAGAAATGCTGAGCATGCGCACATACGACAAGTTCTACGGGAGCCAATGAGGCGCAAAAATGCGAAGGTCCACGCCTTTTACACACTGAATTGAATAGAATACATTGTGTATGAGATGCATTCTTGTCCGGTAACGTCACGCTATTATGAATGCAGTGAACTAGCGGCTTTGCTCCAGCAGGAACTGTCCTTATAAATTATTAAACTCATGGTCGGCTTCTTGACAGTAAATGTGCACTAATGATGCACTACTCAAACTGGCTTATTGACGTGAAAAACAGGGCAAGCCTTCGAAATGCGTGCAAAACACCACCTAACACGGACTGGAACAACAGGGGAAATGTTGTGGACCTGCAGAACAACAACCCGCAGCCTAATGAGAAAACCTCCGAGCTAATGGTCACCACCCACCTCTGGAAAACAGGTAAGAAGGTGAATTATGTAGCTGCAAGCAGCCACCCTCGTCAAATATCGGGGCCTGCCGTGAATATTTCAGCTTGACTGGCATTTTTTTTCTTACACGACAGGGCATATTGTACGCCGTTTTTTCCTTTTAATTCTGGATACAAGCAGACTGGAGTCAGAGAGTCAGACATTGAGCCGGAGTTTCCAGTTTCCTCCTCAGGTCAGAGTGGAGGGCGAAGGCGTGCTCCGTTACCAAGGCGACGGTCAGCTAACAGGGCTCGCTAGCGGGGCTAAGCTAGCACCCACTTTAGTGTCCTTTTGACACCTAGAAAGGTGACAGAAAAAAAAATTAAAACACACCTTTTCAAACGTAACATTGATAATGTACTCTGCAGACACGCATGTTATGGATATTCGACTTACATGCGGCGGCTAGGACTCAAAGGGATGCATTGTAAGTAACGAGCGGAGGGATGGCAGTCTGACAGGCGGTCGCACGTCCACGAGATTTCTCTTCAAATGTCTAGTTTGCTAGCAGTTCTAACCTCTAAGAATATCGCTCATTTGGTCTGGTACACAAATGGGAACACATACGCGAATACCTTTTATGAATAATGTTTCCACCAAAGCCTTTTTTGCTGCGGTTTTAACCTGTATTTTGCATTAAATGTCACCAAAAGTATGAAAACAAGCGCGCCGTTCATCTGACCTCACCTGTTATTAACCGTAGCACTGGCGAAGCGGAGCAGTGTGGGAGTCTGACAATAACACGAGGATAATTATTGCTCACTAACATAATTAGATAGGTCACAGTTTTTAGTTTGTCAAAATGGGACCTAAAACAATACTTTCTGATTTTGTAATATTTTTGAGCAGTTCAGACAGTGAAACTATCGCAACTGTCTCCATAAATTGTAAATGAGAGCATTAAAATAGTGCCATCTCTCATGACTTCAGCTAAACTAAACTATTGCCGCTGCAGTGACTGGTCCACAAAAGTAAATCTCCCAGCAGGAAAAAAAAAAAAAGGTGTACCTTGTTTGCATTAACCAACCACAATAATGAGCTAATGTTTGAAATGTGGAACCTGACTTGAGATTTCCTGTAAAATATTTAATCAGAATTAGTTTTATGTGAATGCAAAGCTGAAGCAATTAGTGCATTAACTGATTAGCTGATTTTATTATGTTTTGGACTGTTTTGTGGACCAAACTTTTATATATGTCAACTTGTCATCAGGATTTTTTATTTTTTTGCAGACTGAACTGGGATGAAAATAATAATTAGCTGAAGTCCTAAATGACTCTGAAAATCCCAGTTCCCCTTACCACCAATATCATCATGGGCTTTAATGTCCAATGGGAGTGTTCCAGTTTTTCCTGTCTACAGAGCACAGGATGTCCCTCTAGATGATGCAGCCTTGTTTTTCTCTTGTTAGGTTACTCACAAATGATAGTATGATAGAAATGTGTTCATGCGCCTGTTCTTTCTTGTTTCATTTTATTGTTGCAGGTTACAAAATAATCAAAAAGATCGGGGAGGGCACATTTTCAGAGGTGGTGAAAACTCAGAGCCTGAAAGATGGGAAGTTTTACGCATGTAAAACCATGAAACAGACAATAAACAGGTATGTATGCTGAGCACAGCGGCTAATCCGGTGCACGGGCTATCAGTGGTGTAGTTTTCTCATACTCAGTTGTGTATGGACCCTTGAAACTCGAGTCAGCAGCTTGACACCCCCCTTGCCTTAAGTATCCTATTAGATGTCAGTTTGCACTGCCTTTGACCTTGTTGTGATGAGGTAACAATAGAAGTCAGTGCTTGAAATGTGAGTTGACAGTGCACTGGTTTTTGACATTGATTAGCTGTAAATCTGTTCGGCCGTTTATTATTTGCCTTCATCCACAATGTTTCCATGCACTACAGTAACACTATTCTTCTTTCATATATAGAATTGCATGTCTTTAGTCTAGTTTCCTCCAACTCATCTTACATTATCTCAGATTAAGTAAGCAGACACACCATCCAATAAATATACTGTATTGCTGCATTTGCCATATTTAATGTTCTCACATCATTTCTTCTTTGTTGATAAGTCTGGAGCAGGCCAACAACCTGCGGGAAGTCCAGGCAATGAAGAGACTGAGCCCTCATGCAAATATCATCCAGCTACATGAACTGATTTTGTGAGTGCTTGTGTGTTGTCTATTTTGCAGCGAATATAGTATCATATATAATGTGGTATTTCATTAATCTAACACAATGTTTCAGTGACAAAGAAACTGGAACCGTGTCTTTGATCTGTGAGCTGATGGAGATGAACATCTATGAGTACATACAAGGTAAGTGTGCCAGGATGACAGCGAATCCCTATAAGTGGATCTTAAAGATGTAGTTTTTGTGCGAATTTTGACATTTCTCATTCCTTGCAGGAAGAAAAACACCACTGCCTGACCATACAGTAAAACATTACATGTACCAACTTTGCAAGTCACTGGAACACATGCACAGGTAAACATGGAAATATTCTATTTCAAACTGAATGAAAAAAAATAAAATTCATCATTCAATTAAGCTGAGATCTTGTTTTTTTTCCTTCTTTACAGCTGTGGGATCTTTCACAGAGACGTGAAGCCTGAAAACATCCTTATAAAAGTGAGATGTTCACAATTTGCTTTACCTCAAAGTGACAGGGCTAATTTGGTTTTGAACTGTTCTTAAACTTTGTGCAACTTGCAGCAAAACATTTTGAAGCTTGGTGACTTCGGCTCATGTCGGAGTGTGTACTCCAAGCCCCCGCACACAGAGTACATCTCCACGCGCTGGTACAGAGCCCCGGAGTGCCTCCTCACTGATGGCTATTACAGCCTAAAGATGGACATCTGGAGCGCCGGTTGTGTCTTCTTTGAAATCATGAGGTATCTCAGCAGATACATTTCACCTGTAACACTGTGCCTGTACATTTTCAGTTCAGTTAGAAGGTGGGATATTTCAGTTATATTTGATTACTCATACAATAGCAATATGTTTGCCCATCTCTGCATTCAGCTTTTTTTTTGTAATTTGATCTCTTCTGACCACCAAAGGCATAAACAAATGTCAAACAAAAGCAATGCAAATACTTTTGTGAAGGCAGTCATATCAATACATACCTGTGTGTTTCAGCTTGAATCCTCTCTTCCCTGGAGGCAATGAGTTGGACCAGGTTGCTAAGATCCATGATGTGTTGGGGACACCAGATCAAGGTCTTCTCCAAAAGTTCAAACAGTAAGTGTTACTACTCAGATGTGTTGCCTGAAGAGTTTGTCTACTTGTTACAGGAGTAGCACACGTAAACAGTAAAAAAAAAAATGTTATATGTACTCAAAAACAACCCCCAAAAACAGGGACATGTCTTGTTGCTGTAATGTCTGGCAGGTCGAGAGCGATGCATTTTAACTTTCCCCCAAAGAAAGGCACCGGTATCTCGCGGTTAGTCCCTAACTGCCCAGCTCCAGCTCTGTCACTGCTCTACCAGATGCTTGCCTACGACCCAGATGAACGCATCGCTGCAGAGACAGCCCTGAGGCACACGTACTTTAGGGAAATCAGGTAAAGTGCCTTAGATCAGAAACAAGCATTTTACATCTCTTACCCGCCAGCCGACCCACAAATAGGAAACAAAATAAGACCTTGTGACATTTTAAATCAAATTTGGATGACCAGGCTTATGCTTCAAACTGTAGAGGTACCAAGTAGAAATATTGCTCGCTCTTGTATCTTTCTCCCAGGATGGCAGAGAAGAAAGCAGAGACTCTTCACAGAGTTTCTGGGACTATGGATGGCATGGGGAGCAGTGTGATGCAAAACTCTTTACAACACATCTGGAGACCAACCAGACTCGGCAAACAACTGAGGGGAAGACACACAAGACAAACGCCTTTAATGAGTGTAAGTTTAAACGCTGCGTTAAAGTCGATATAAGTGACAAGTCGAAAGCTTATCTGATACTTTTGCGCTCTTCAGCACAACATGAAGCATGTAGCAGACCCCCTCATCAGACGAAACGTCCCTCATTACGCAGCAGAGCTGCCCAAGATTAACATGGTTGTACCAGGACCACAGATCTCCTTCCCAGTCTCCACTCTGCCTGCGTTTACCGTGACTCACCGAGGCACACTGCCAGCCATCACGTCAAAAAAGTGCCAGTCACAGTTGGCCAAGGTAAACACAGCAGTACGACACAGACATCAGGTTTTTTACAGTTCTGAATCCTTCATTTAAGCCTCCGCAGAGTCACGTTCACCAAGGGCACTGCAGTGATACACAGCTGACGGGTTTGTTTTAAATATCAAAGGATGTTTTGAGTATGCTCACTATGTGGTTTTAAGGACAAAACAGGAGCATCAGATTAATAAAAACAAGTGCCTTGCTAGTGCTTTTCAATGCGGGCTTTGAACTGACATTCATGCTGCATTTCCTCTCTTCACAGCCCCGGGATGAGTCACACCGCGCAGCTTTCAAGACCTACTATATGCCACCTCTGGATAGGAAACATGGAGGCTTCTGAGAGCCAAATACGCTGAAGTATTACATTTACAAATGCCTTTCAAAACAGGACAGACCTGTCCTGACAAACAGATTGCTGAGAGGACACTGTTTGGACAGGCTTTATGTTGAAATCTGTAAAACATGCTCGAGAAAGAAACGCAATGAAGTCCACCAAAACTGTCATCTCACCAGTTATTAGGACTGCTGCACCAAACTGTTCAACCTTGATTGTAATGAGGAAATTCAATGTGACCTCAACTCAAACAATGTATTCTTTCATATAATGTTGGATAAAGATCAAGTAGCTTTAGTTCCTTAGTTTTACTTGACCTTGTCGGGTGTCACACGTTTACAACCCTTTAACAACAGACTTCAAACTGAGCCTAATGTAGTACACACACCTAACAGTATGACATTTGATAGATAGGTAAACAGCATTTAACATTAGTGATCAACATTTTTAACTTCTTTTAAAGTAATATGACACCTTTAAAGAAGTAATCGCACCACTAGGACTTCTTCAGGTTGTACTATTTTACAACTTTAGATCAAGCTCTGTTGACACTGATTAACAAAAAGAAAAGACTTAAATGTTAAAATAGCCACAATTCTTATCAATTCGTCACCCTTCACTAACACACCTACATTTACCATTTTTTAAATGATAAATTGAATGAGACGACCAGTTTCTAATTACAGCGTAACAAATGACACACTGGGGACCTGAAAGGTCCAACAACCGAATAATTAATTTCCTGGTCGAGAGAAAAGATTCATCTCACAGCATGAATTCTAGACATAAAGAAAAGCTCCACAGGAGCATAAAAACGTCCTGGAGAAGCCGAGGCAAAGCTGGAAACTTATAAATGCTACATAGTAGCTTTAATAATCCACTGAGATTTACAGTGTAAAGTGAGAAAAACTCCACAGTCAAGGTTGAATTCCCTTTCTAAGGACTATATATTTGTGATAGCATGTCTTTCAAATTACCATGATTGAAGTCCTCATGATTTGAAAGGTAATAGTCTTCCTGTACAAAGGTCAGCAGCAAACACATTCTCATGAACTCATCCTCAGCCACGTGTTTCGAGATGTACTTTAAATGCACATTTTGTGATCTAGCTGTAAACTAATTAAACAGCTTTGAGTGGGATACAAAAGACAGAAATTGAATCGTTAAAAAGAACTGAGCTTCCTTTTAGATGAACCATGTACATGGAAACACCTGTGTTGAGATGCCTGGAGAATTGTTGCTGATGGGACGTTAGAAAGTCAGATGATTGAATGTTGTTTAGAGCGTAGCTTGACCTGTACCTTCATACTCCTAACTTGAGGCACTGTGGCTTAAAAAAGAAGAAAAAAAAAAGTACCATTTCATGCAGAGCTGTGAGCTCATTAAAACGGACTGTGACTCAGTCTGCACTTTATTGTGTTTGTTATTGTGTCAGAGTAAAAAAAATATCAAGTATCATTTGTATGATGTTGTCATTAACCTGCATTACAAATAAAACATAATATATGCACAAACCGTTGACACAAAAATGTTGACAGAACAGTCACGTTTTTTGTTGTTTTGTTTTTTTTAATGAATAAAGAGGGATTTGTAAATTTGCTTCAAAAATAGATGGACTTCACCTGCAATCTGTCTCTTGCAGGGATCACTGAACTCCTCGTGGCTCCAACAGTGATCAGTAAAACTACATTAAAAATGTATTCATGTCAAATGGGGAAGGATTTCTTGGTTGAATCTCAAGTTTCTAATCTGCAGTCATGTTTCTTTGTTAAAGTTCTTTTCAGGAGAAAACTGGAGAGTATTCTCCTAAAAAAGGAGAGAGCTGGTATCAAGTTAAGGAGAGTCTTTGGAGGTTCAATTGCTGGCCAGACTTCCAAACTTGAAGCCCGCTCTCTACAGCTACAGCATTGTCATGCTTGTGACAATTTAACTTTCAGATGTAAATACATTACATGTGGGTGCACAAAAAAGAACAGAAAACGGTGTATTCAAGATTATTTTAATATTATTAATATGTATACTTTAGGCTTTAGAAATATAACTATCAATGACAAAACTTCCACTGGAGTAATGGTAGTTTGCTTAGGCCCCCATCAAATCAATTAATTACAATATACACATTATGATACAGAGCAGATTTGAATCTGAAATAATATTAAAATAAATGCTCAATAGATAAAGGTTTTAATAGTTTTTATCATTTTCTTCACCTACTGTATTAGCCATCTGTGAGTTCTGAGCACACCCAAAAATGTAAAGCCATTTTCTTCTAATAAACTAATTTAAGTGCAAACCTTTTTTTTTTCTTTAAAAAGACTATGATTGCAGCATCCAGCTTTATAGATTCAGATTTCAAGACTGAGGATGTTAAAGCCGAGTGCAACAAGGCAGTCCTCAACCCTCTTTTTTTTGTTCCATTAGAGTAGTTATAAAAACAAACAACAACATAGCTAACAAATTCAGTGCAAAGTCGTCAATGGGGAGATTCTACTCAAGAAAAGACAGAAGTGGTGGGTGAGTGACGATGGATGCAATATTTTCAGATGCTCACGCACTTGGTCATAAAAGGATAGTTCTTTCAAACTTCATATTTCAGTAAGTAACCCTGAGCCTACACTGGGTTACATGACAAAATCTTAAAAAAGGGGTAAAGAGATTATGAAAATTAAATGAACTATCCCTTTAATCTCAAGCCACAATAGTCTGGTTTGCATCTAACAAAGCCAAGCCTTAATTCCAGAGAGGACAACAGTCTGATGAGATCCGACATGGAACAAAAAAAAAAAAAAAAAGATTTTTTAAAAACCTAAAATGTGTTAAAACTTCAGAGAACAATAGTATTTTAGCGCAATAGTCCACGATTGCACCACACCTTTTCCTGTTCCATTCCTCCTCTAGGTCAAGTGAGTGATAAACAAAAAACAACAGAAAAGCCATTAACAAAACTGGGAGAGGGAGGGGGTATAAAGAAAAGGAAAACTTGCAATGCTTGCAGGGTGAAGAGCAGCATCAGACTCTGGGTTGCAGGGTTCTTTAGCAGCAGAAATATTGTGGCTATACTACTGTTCCACTGGGAGAGCTGGCTTGGTTTTGGGATGACAATAAACCCTGGAAAAAGGAAAACAAGGAGATTTGCATTGGGAAAGTCCACATACTATAGCAAAATCAAGCAACAAATAGCTCATTAAAAATGTGTCTCATCTTTCCTTATCCCAGTCCCCAGCATTAAATCAAAAGCCTGTGCACAGCAGTCAAAGTAGATGCGAAGTATACAGTTTGAGACTAACAGTGTCTTTGAGAGGTTTTCTTGATCAAGGCACTTCTTGCATACATGATCGGCCCATTAACTAGTTTATCAAAAAGGTTCTTTTTTTTACCTCTGGATCTGACCTTCAAGTGCACTTGAGGACAAACTAAATTGCTAACTTTTCTATTGATTGGTTAAAATTAATTATGTGTACAACTTTTTCTACAGCCTCAAGTTAAGTATCCAATTTGGATGAAAATTTAAGGGCGTTTCCCCTGTGAATGTCTGACTGGTTTGAAATAAGTATCTGACTGTACTGACTAAAAGTCAGACTTCTAGTGATGTTCCAGATTCAGACCATCATGTGCCCTGTTCTGGCAAAAAAAACTCTCAAACCACAAACAAAAGGGAAGTAGATGAGTATACATATTAAGCTGTTAGCATGTGAGGAACTGCAAAGATTATTTGGGGAAATGCAGAGCCATTTGTGTAAAAGCTGAAATGTGAATAGGGTTGGGGTTCAATAGCATTTTATCAAATCCAATCAACTCCCTTGTTAATTTTAATTAAGTTTAGCTGTGATCATTTGCAAGTAACTCAAGTTGTGAATTCAGTTTAGATTGTTCTCTCCAACCTGAAAATGAGATCAGAAATGTTTATTATGGATTGTTTGACGCACTTAAATAACAGCTGCAACAAGATAACACCAGATAATGAGTTTCAAGTGTTGATTTGATAAAGTGTCCACTCTGTTGAACAGCAGAAACACAGATCAGCGGTGGTTGTAAAGGTATGTGATGATGTCTTTTCGCTCAAACAGTCTTTGGCAGAGTACAGACGGGCTTGGAGAGAGCACATGAACCAGCAAAGTTTCATTGGAGCTGTTACAGAATTAACAATAATTTGATACAGCTGATATAATCTACCATTGGAGACGCTGGTCATTGTAACCGGAGAAAGAAACAGTCGGTGGAGGCTATAAAAGAGAAGCTGCTAACATCACCTGCTTGGTTTGACCATTGGACTTTGCTAATCAGGGAAAAAAAATAAATAGGAGAGAAAAAATTCAATGAGAGATTTGTTTAGCTGCAGAGTTTAACGAATCCAAGCATTTCGCTGATCAGGAACTGTATCCATAATGAAACCAGCTACCAGAACCCAACCCCTAAATGTGAGAGTGTATGCAGATGACTTGTTAGCTCTGCTGCTACGCATTGTGGGATGATTATGGTGAACCAATGAACACACTTCATATGGAAAATGTTTTTCTTCATTTCACAGGTCTATACAGAAAATTCTACTCTCAGAATGGATTATATAACCAGAAACTATACGTTCATAGCATAGGTTATATCTAAAACTTAGGCATAATCGTCTTTTACTGTAAAGCAGGTGTACATAAAACAAAGTCTGATATGTTGCTCGGCTGTCTGCAGTGACAATTTGATTACAAAAGCTAAAAATGCTATTCCAAATGTCCACAGTTTTACGTATGCCTTCAGAATGCTGTTTCTTGGTTACTTAAGACTGACAAAGCATCATCATGTCAATTTTTCCCATATTTCCTACATTAAAAAGAACTTACCACTTTGCCTGGCCTCGCCCATGTGCAAATAAATCCCTCCTGACAAGCAGTCACTAAACAGTCCTCTAAAAATATGAGTACAGTCAGTCTCTCGTGTGCTATTTTTTTACAGATGAGGGGCTCAAGGAGGGGCACATCCTCCATGCGCGGACACAGCAGGGTGCCCAGAGTCTTAGCAGGGTCTGTTTTGGTTTTAGTCAGCAGGTTGAGCTTGTCGCTGCTCTTACTGCTGATGTGACCCATGCTGTGGTTGCGTTTGTGGTCCTTCTCGTGGTGGCGCTCCTTCCGATCATGGAGTGACAGTGTGGCAAACTTGCTCACACCTGTAGCGATGGCACTGTCCATAATACCACTGCCGATTCCACCACCGCTGCCGGCCTTGTTGGTATTGTTTACTGTTGCTGTTGTGGTGCCGGCTGAATGGGGTAGGCTGTTGGAGCGTGGTAATGTAGAAGAGAGGGAGTTAATGCCAGGAGTATTGGCACCACTGTTGTTTCCATTAGTAGTGTTACTAGAGGTGTGAGTGATTATTGTAGCACCCGCAGGAGGGCTGGTAGCATTCATCACATTAGTATGTGTTCGTGTCCGTGAAAGCGGAAGATGGGGGAAAAGGATGTCCTCAGTGAGGTCCCATAGGCACAGCTGAGTGTCCTGACCCACTGAGCCAAACCGGTATGTGACACTAACAGGCCGGCTGTCCGTGGAGTTGCGCTTGGAAAGTCGAGACTGTGTACTATTGGCACGATCTCGTCCAAAGTGGATCATCTGATCCTGGAAGTCCTCATCGCTGCCACTAAACTCCATTGGGTCACTCTCCTCCACACTGGTGGTGTAATGGTCAAATGCCACCACACTCACCCATGACTTGTGGCCGTGACCTCGGGCAATGACTCTGCAATCCAAGAACGACCACACAGTCACTAGATCGTCCTCTCCTCCTGCAACTATGTACTTTCCATCAGGGCTCCAGCAGACACACAACAGGCCACCAAAATAGCTCTTCATGGTGCCGTGGAGCTCAACAGCATCAAAGTTGAACACCCGTAGGAAGCCGTCTTGGCTTACACAGGCAAGGAACTTCCCATCTGGAGAGAAGGCAAATTCATTCAAAGCACCCTCCCCCACTGTCCATTTCAGGAGAGGGTTCCGCGTGGATTTACTCTTGCAAGTGTGTACAGAGTAGTTCTCTCCCTGTTTGAGCAGCTGGTAGTGTGGCGCTGTGGTGCCGCAGGTATGCTCCACATTGTACAGGTACATATTCCCACTGGCATGAGAGACCAGAAACAGGCTCTCAGAGCCTGGCACCCATTTCACACATGTTACTCTGGACTTGTCTATTAATCTCTGTCAGGAGAAAGGGAGGGTTGAGATTTGAGAAGAAGATGGAGAAAAAGAGAGCAGAGGGAAAAAGGGGGAAAAAATTATTTCAGTAGAGTATCATAAATTAAAAATCACTATTTGGAACAAGCTGGAAGTTTTACAATTTAATACACAAAGTCTTTGTTCACTAAAACGTATTTTTTGTGACCAATCCTGTTAAACGTGACGCGCAGGACAAGCACAAAGTAAAGAAGTAGAGAATAATTCTTTGGACACATTACTCTTCTTTGTCATTCAGATGCTTTGAATAGTCTACATCAGAAGACACAAGCGTTTACCACAACAGCTTAGACGAAATTCAAAATCAGTACTTTATATGAATAATCATTTCAACACAGAACAATCTGCTGTGAGTTCTAGACTAATGATTGGTTCTTCCGTAGGGTATGGGCTTATTACATTTTTTGGGATTAAGTGAGATGCAACAAAATACATCTTCATCCACAATGGCCTAAAAATAATGCAGATGTCTGTGTGGGAACAAGGCTCAACATATCAATCAATATGACGATGAGGGACTTGATGAAAAGTAACAATGGATAACAATGTACACAGCATTTTTATTCAATGTGTCCTTCAGAGACCTACCTCCTCATTAAAGAGCTTGCTTGTCTCCTTCTTGATGGGGTCAATGAGCTGTACCTGTCCTGCTGAGAAACCCACCAGCAAGGACACGCTTTCTGCTGTAGCTGTGAGGTGGTTGAAGTCATGACACGTGGGCTGCGTTCCCTTGTAAATGCGCTTGTCTATGGGCTTGCTCAGGTCCGCAGCCTAGAGAGAGAGAGAGAGAGAGAGGAGAGAACAAGAGAGAGAGAGAACAAATGCAGATGAAGTGAGTGCAGTAACCTTTAAATATCTAAAATGACTTTATGCACTTTGCTGCAAGATGAAGGCTGCTACTGGTCAAACTGTCAGTAAGAAAAAGAAAAAAAAACCCTGAAAAATACACTAGAGCTGAGTGTGCCGTTGGGTCTTTTGTCCTGTGCTGCATCTCAAACACATTGGCACAGAGTTTAGAGGACTTGTAGGGTCAGCGTTAATTCTACTGATCAGAGACACTCAATTTGGCCTTTCAGCCAACCCTTTAAAAATCAAGCTGCTTGCCATTAAAGTGTACAAGATGTGACTGAATGTAAAATAACACTGTACAACATTTAGCAACACATCAAATAGCTCACATTCCCTAAGCAAAAATGAGGAAGAACTCAAGTGCAGAAGTATGTCCTTTCACTTTGGATGAGTACATGGCAGCTATCATAGAGCAGTTGTTGTAGGTGTCAGGGAAACAGCAATACACTGCTGCAAACAAACCATAGGGCATATAGTTTAGATAACCAGTATGACAACACTTCCATTTGTTAATGATTTACAGTTTACACTACTGGCAGAATGGAAAATTCTTTTAAGATGATGACTCACTAGTTCCTCCATTAGTGCTGGATGCAACACTGGCTGTTTCTGTCTCGCTTTCAAGAGCCAAAATGCCTTAAATGTCGCTTAAATCAAGTGTCCAGTCAAACTCACAAAAGCACAGGTCTAATGTCTCACAATGGCAGAAATAAGTCAAAGACTTTATCCATGAGAAAGACTAAGATGTTTAACCATTTTGTAGATGTAATGGAGCGCAAATAAACTAAACAGTACTCACTGTATTAAACAGTGTTTTGATGATTTGACAGTAAATTTAAAGAGTTTTACAAAACTAGCCTATGTCAACGGGTAAGTAAGGAGTTTTAAGATTCACATAAATAAAACATAAACTGCTGAATTTAACTGTTAGCTTTGTTTCCCATTCTTTCCACATATGCTACAATATATCAGAGCAATAAAACAAATACCATTTCCTGCTCCTGATAGACTACAACCTAAGAGCAGGTTTGTCTTTATATTGTATAGATTTTAAACTCTAATTACTACAGTTGCTGGCAGTCTTTAGCCAGTTTACTGCTATTTTACACAGGAAAGACAACATGTATGACACTCACATGTTTCTGTATGACTGTCAAAAGACTGTGACACTTGGCTCCAATTGGTCAGCTGATTCTTGTCTACCTGTTTGCTGTCATAAAGCCAAAAAAACATATACATCTATTTTAGGGTAGCATAAGATGTGGTATGTGGAGAGATTATATCGTGATACTGAATGGCATCTGAATACCAGAAGGCTGAGTATCAGGATAATGCTGGGTAGCGAGTAATCATGTGATTCCCACAGGATCTCCACTTTCTGTTTGAGTGGAAACTCATATATTCATCTGGTCCACAATCACCAGGAGTTAAAGAACTAGATTACTTTTCAGAGACTGGAAATAGATCCAGAATCTAGGAATATACTGTGCAGTGCCAGTGCCTTTGACAGACACTTATCCGTGGCAATTACAAAACCGAAATATGCTAAGTCAGCTTAGATTGATCAAGACACAGGTTGTGTCCAGGCACATCCCCAAGCAAAGACTACATTACATTAAAAAAGGATGATGGCAGCAGTTACTTTGCCAACCAAATATTCTCCTATACTCTGAATCTGCATAATTGTGATTTGCCGACACCTGTCAGTCAAAGGGACGTCGACAGGTGTTACGGGTGGCAACGTTAAAAGCTGTCACTGTCGACACTGACACTTTGAACACAAACTATACCCGTTACAAAGGTTACTTCAACCCTGACAACTGCAACCATAACAAAAGGTCAACTTTATACCAACGATATTTATCTAAGCTCAAGAAACCGACCATACAGTAAAAGTAAAACAGAGTGACGGACTGGCAACGTAGTTTTAGTCCCTGGCCTCGGAGTAGCCTTGCTAACGCTAGCCAGTTGCGTTGGCTAGCTAGCTAAGTAGGCTAGCTTCATCATAGCTACAAGCTAACTAGCTAGCTGCCAGCTAATTTCAAAGTCAAGCACCTGTCTGAGTTATTAAACACGGTAAACACAAGCCTAAACTTTAGCAACAACTGAGACAGCAGCGATGCGTGTTGACTTGCAGTGTAGCCAATTTCCGTTGACATTAGCCACGTTAGCACGCTACCTTTCTAACGCCTTTGTAGATGTAGAAGTAGAGCTCACGGCCCACATTGAAACAGATCCTGTCGCCGTTGCCTGACTGGTCGTTGACGTTCACGAAGGAGACCTTGACGGGGTTGGAGCCTTGCGAGTTGAAAGGCACCCTGTTAGGACGGCTGTATTCGGAGTGAGTGAGGAGTTTGTAGACACCTTCCCGAGTGGTGAACTGAGTTTTAATTTCGTTCATCTCCTTCCCTCCTCCCTCCGCCGCCATCTTTGAAATTAACATTCATCCCTTTCCCCCAGGCCGGATCTTACGCACGGATGGGAGCGGGCATTCCGACTCTCCCGTTCCCCCCAACGGTTCACCGGGGAACTGGTGGAGGGATGCGACCGGTGCTACTCTCAAGTTGTGACACCTTCCTTCTTTTCTAAAACTTTCCAACATTATACCACCTTAGCTTTAAATTAAATTATATAAATAGCGCATATCTAAAACAAGTGTAGGTTTATTTTACTTTGGTGATAAGTTACTGGTTATGGAAATATGTAACAGTGTTACCAAGTAAACAGGGAACTTCCGGTTAGTTTGTGTCAATTTTTTAAACTTTTATTTATTTATTTATGTATTTAAGCCGTGGCTTGTTGTAAACACAGCTTAGAAAGCAGGAAGTGTGTTTTGATTGCTGGGTTATCAAGTTATCTGCAGCTTACATAGATTGTACAGTCTGTAGCTGCTCGGCCATAGAAACCAAATAGTTTTGAAACTCTTAAAAATTGGACTATTTTGCAGCATGAAGTGATAAACTGACCACTTAGAAATAGTCCATTTTCATTTCTGTTGTTATTCTCTCCCATGATAGCGGCCTCTTTAAAAAACATTAAAATATTTTTACTTCTGAGAAGAAAACATCACATTTTGACAGTACAAAGTAGGTCTGTGGTCTTATAAATATATATGAATATACATACACAAACTTTTTTTTGGGACTGTTACATGACTATATGTATGTATGTATATCAGCTTCCATTAGATTGAACGGAAAAATAATCTAATATGTTTAACCTAAGTAAGACTTTTAAATGAAAACAGTTTACAAAATACAAAAGAACAGGCTTACAAGGTGATCAGAATGAGTTTAAAACTACAAAATACACACACACACACACACACACATATATATACTCATACATAGCAGTATAAGTTTATCAAAATCTTTAAAATGAGCCAACCCAGTGGTGTTTTAAACTCATGGCAGCTGCTGGTGTGCCGGTGGCTCACCTGTGACCTCACTTGGCTGTTTCACATCAAAGCCAGCTGCTGGCTAATTAATCCACCCGTTGACTGCATTATTACCACTTCTCTTCAGCATTTTACCTTATTCAAAAAAGTTAAACGTCATGGCACATAGTAGAAGACGACAGCGCTCACTTCCAGGTTTGTGTCAGTCTTTTAAAAATCATTGAATTTTGTGACGTGCTGGAAGATTGATGCATTATTTAAGTTCTTGGATGTGGTATCTCTCTACTGCAGGGCTTTAATTTGTAATTTTATTTTGTAACAATTGCATCATTTCAATGTGCATCATTGCACTGTACATGTTTGTCTGCCTTCAGACCACAGTGACAGACATGCGCTCAGCAGCATGGACCAGCTTACTATGCAATACATGGTAAGATCAGGTAGCTGCGGCTCATTTCACAGCCCTATTTAGGGGCTCTTCGCTCTCTGGTTTAAATTTTACATCACTTATTGTTTCTCCTTCTTCAAAATGTTTATGTGGATTGGAGTGATCTCTGTTTTATGTCAGATGTTCAAAGTGGAGTCCAGCACAGAATCTGACTCAGAAATCAGTCCGAGATGGTCGGACACAAGCACTATGGTACTGCTTTATTTCTTAATGTAAACATCACTCACACACAAACTGACACAATATCCGAGTCAGATGTATATTTCTATAGCTTAACTACTTTCAAAGTGGCTTGTATTGTAAAATGATACCATGTCCTATGGTAAAAATATACAAAACCAAAGATGAAATCTTTTTCCCCAAGAAACTTCTCCAACATGCCCATTATCACTGTGGCTTCATCACTTTTCACTGTGCACGTCTAGTACACAACTTCACACACAGGTGTTTCAGTGGGATCATTTTAATAAGGGAAGTGTGTACTGATGTTTATGGTTTAAAAACACTACTGTCTGGTCATGCAGAATTAAATTCCTGGTTCTTGTGTGTAGGGATGTGCGAGCAGTGCACCAGAGAGTGGGACTTCACGGCGGGCAACGGTAACACACAAGCTTGCAGCAAGGCACGGCTGTAATTCTTTGGTGAGCATTCTCCTTTCTTTCATTCATCCACTTCTTCTGCAAAGTCATCGTGCTGTTCTATGTGCTCATGAATGAAAGTGCTTCTAATTTGTAGTTTTTGGACCCGTATGATGGGAGCTCTGAAAATTCTGATGAGTCACACATCGACGTGGGCGCCTCCAGCAGACAAACAAGGCAGCAGAAAAAAAAAACTCGGCTCTTGAGCAGGAGGAAGCGATTTTTCCTTCATGAGCCTGCTTCTGTTTCCCCCAGAGAGGAAGTGAAAAGGGGGATGAGAAATTCTGCAACAAAACAACAACTTTTGGATGCCGGCATTGCATTTGAAAGTGAGGCTGAGCTGTGGCTCTGTGAGTTAGCTGCTCTGTCTTATGAAAGTGATGAGGAGGGTTGTGGAAACCTCACAGAGGAAAGGACAAACAAGTCACCAACACATACGCAAACCATGGATGTAGAGCAGCCACTTGATGACTCGGGCTTACAAGCTACAAGATCATCCTCACCTCACACCCCAGTGAAAGAGAGTCCCCCTCAGGTACGAGACAGCTCCTCAGAGAGATCCCCCAACTCCTGTAACCTCAGATCTTTTTTCAAGAGAAAGCTTGGTATGCCTGGAGCAGAAGAAGCAGTGGGGTTGAGCCAAAACAAGAGGCAGTGTGTCATGAGCATGGAGGATGAACAGGAGGGAAAGAACTCTGCATCCGAAGCATGCTAGAGCTATTTAACCATGAAGTCACATTAAATGCCTTTAAAGATTTAAGGTGGACAGAAATACTGTAAATAGTTATTTAAAAATGCACGTTGTTTACTCATGTTCGAATACAGGAAATTGGTGTATGCTAAAAGGTGATAGTTATCCTACTTTTGAGTCACGATAACTTTAAGCTACTGTACAGGTAGTTTGAGCATCACCTGATTTTAACATTGCGTTCAGCAACTTCACCTACTTTTTTCACGTTCAATGGCAAAATCAAATTTTTGTTAAGATGTTGAGTTGTTTGAATTTTATTTTACACACATTGGGGTTCTGTAGAGTGTTTGTTTTAAATGGGTTAACCTAAAAATGAACCACTGAATTAGGAATGTCCTCCATGTTTTTTGTTTTTTTTTAATGTTTATACCGTCTTTGCCACAATTTCGATGGATAAAGATCCACAGCTCACACTTGTCTGATGCCCCTTCATCATTTTCTTTTTAGCTTGCACTTCACATTCCTTCTACAGCACTATTGTTTTTAATCCCAGCAAAAACACAATCTCTCCAACCACCAGGTAGCGGGAAAACACTTTGATGTATTTTTGCCTCAGTTTGGTGAAGCCCTCACTACACGTGCATCAAGTTTTGAAGATTTAGAATCTGATCCAAGTTGAAACAAAAACTTTGTGCCATTTGTAAATTCATGTGAAGGCTTTTGGGTACACTCTGGGTGATACTATTTACTGTACAGTTTGGTGAACAGTGGAATTTTCTTCACAAAACAGTCTTTTAAAGTGAAAAGGAGGGGAATTTGTCTGCATAATATATTGTCACATTTCAATTATGACCATGTTTCATCATGTCAACTTCATTTAACATTAAAACAGTAATGAACATTGTCATCTTGGTTCTTGTCAGTAAATGTGTAACTGACTAAAGTATGTCTCAAAATGCCTGATGGTACTGAAAGTGGAGGCATTTCAAGAGAAACAACAGAAAACACCACCAATGACACATATTAAACTTTTACTAGAAGAAGAAGGCTGTACTGAAGGCAGTTAATTGATTCCAACAAGTTTTATTCAGTCTACAAACATACTGGCTCTTTCATTAAAACACTTTCCTTTCAACTCTACTTTTCCAAATGACATTTTCTCTTCATTTACCATCTGACAACATCCCCTTGACCTTCCAAAACACTTTCCAAAAACACTAACAATGGTTAAATGCTCATTACTGCTCCATAATGTTCCTATGTTTGAGATTGGAATGCAACAGTCTACAACTACTTTTAATGAATGTGAGTGATTATGTGTGGATTAATAATCAAGACTTTCTAGTCTACAGGAATGACTTGTTTCATTTACTCGGTGCACAGGACAGCAACTCCACGCTCATAGAAGCTATGAGGATCTTCCTTGGTGGCGATGTCAAAGTCAACAGTGAAGATGAGGTCAGATCGAGTAAAGTTCAGGTACACAGGTAGCGTCACCTGCAATGAGAAAAAAAAAAAAAAAGAAAGGTGACGAGGACTGCAAGACAAAAGCTTTTCCCCTAAACTGTTGGAAAGTACAGATTAAATACAAGGAAATAAAGATGTGTTGTATGTCCATATGTTGTTAATACCATGTGTCTCTTCTCTGCATTGCTTTGTTTGATCCAGCGGAGCTGAGTGAGAGGCAGCTCAGTGGAGATGGAGGTGGACAGAGACAGCTTGTTGTTGGCACAAGTAGCTCCCTGCAGTTTCAGACCTGGAAGGCACAGACCACATGTTTAGATTCAGAACCCCTAAAAACTTCACTTTATGTCTCCACTATATTAGACCACAAATTTATTTAAAGTAACAAAAGGACTCCGTAAGTACCAAGTGAGGCTCATTTCACTTGATGCCATAAACTGAATGTCTTAAGAACATTTGCCCAACTCACATCCACCTAAATTGTTGTATTACCACAGTCCACCTTGTTATGCACTTTGCCCAGTGCCTTTTCTTGACTACAGCAGATGAGGTGTGTTTTTTCTGACCTTTGATACCGAAGCTGCAGGCGTCCAGAGCAGCGCCCTGTGCAGTGGTGACATTGACCTCCAGACACAGCTCTTCCAGGGACCAGCTGTTGGCCTGTGCCACGTACTGGCGGGTGGCGGTAATGTAAGCCTCTGGCACAAACAGACTGCCCAAGCACACATGGATGTTCTGGAGAGGGGGAGACAAGAAGATTTATGGAATGTGAAAGAAAGGAAAGTGACAGTATTTAATGCATCTCTGTTATGATATTATTTCAGACTTGTTTGATTCTGTACACAAACGGTACCTTCAGTTCTTTTGCACCCCCGCTGGCAGCTCCCTGGGAGATCTGCTGCAGCTGTTTGATACGCTCACTGAAGTCTGCCACCCACTGGATCACAGTCATGGCGACTGGGACTGTGTACCGACACCAGCTGCGAGGGAGGATTCCTGCAGAAAAAGAGACGTGTATACCATAGATACTGAATAGATATTCAAAGTATGATCTGTTATTGAACATCTTTACCTAAATTTTAAAAAAGAGCTAAATTCATAAAAGTAAATAAACAAATCTGGGTAAAAAACCTTTAACAAGGTCACTGATGAGCGTGCGCAGGTAGTTGGTCTGCTTCTTCTTGCCCTCGCACACTTGCACCACATCGGACAGATCCTGACGGACTTCCTGAAGCATCTTGCCGCCCATCTTCACCTCACGCTCAAAGAAACGGAAAAGTGGGTCCTGGTGTTTGTATTAAAAAAAAAAAAAAAAAAGACATTAAAGCAAATATAGAAGCTGGATAGATGCACAGACAAAAGCAAATACATATTCATTCACTGAAATTCAAGCCCGTGCTTTTATATTTCTTTCATTTTACCTGGTTACCTTAGCAGTCAAGCACAAAAAAATGAAAACACAACTAATCAGTTGTCAATGTAGTAATTTCTGACAGTAATAAATGCAACAAGGATATTTTAGGCTTGTTTTAAGAAGTCTGCTTGCTATCACCTTCCCTTTTTTTTCTGCCATTACCTTGATGTTCTCCACGGTGCGTTTGAGTGGATTGACTGTTTGTGGCATGAGCTGCAGCCAGTTACAGGCGGTGGTGTGGAGGGTCCTCATCCAGGCTGGCTGGGTGTCAGATGTTGAAGAAGTGCGCTCCTTCTTCTCCGTCTCATAGGCAAGGTCATCCTCATCCTCCAACATCTGCATTTTCAGCATCTTACCCATCATGTCAGTGCCTGCGCAGCCCGGCAGAGGGAGCGTGTGAGCAGGGAGGGAGGTGGAAGACAAGGCCATGGTGGGAGGTAGGGGGAGGAAGAAGAAATTAATCGTGGAACAAAGAAACAAACGGCTTACCTCAAGGATGTGTTAATAAAGGGTTTGCTTTTTTTTTTTTAAAAAAGGGATTGTGCCAAACAGACAAAATAGGATGACAACTGGGAGGACAAAACACACACAAGGCATCAGGCAAAATTTCCATTAAATGTAGCATTCGACACAGCTGCCAGACTCTGACGGGATCTGTCAATGAAATGAACGCAACCAACGCAAGGTGGCAGGAGTTGAGGGAGAAAGTAATGGGTGGAAATGAGGATGAAGGAAATGGGTAGTGTAGCGGGAGAACCTTGTGATGGATTCTTTAGCAGCAGGGACTTTGGAGGTGGTGTGAAGATCAATCAGACAAAACAGGGAAGGAGGATATGAAAGGGAATCTGAGGGAGATGGATGAGGGTGGCTGACTTAGAACTAAATCTGAGGGTGGGACGGGGAGAGTATCTTAGCAAAGCGACATGATGGCTGTGAAATACAGCTGCTGGAGGGTGAGGAGACACACACCCATCCTTTGGGCAGAGCACCTTTGGAAGTATGATGGCTATGACTACAGCTAGGCTGCACTATATTGCTATGTTATACAAAGCTGCAAGGGGCTAGTTGTGACACCACAGAACACTAACTGGTAGTGAGGTGAGGAAAACCGATGGGAAGATGAGAGATTAGCCGTGGGAACACCTGTAATAAGTTCTTTGCCACCACACACACAGTATTCTGCCCAAAGCAGACGCAAAAATGTAAGATCTTGACCTCACATTGCACAAAGACACCCTGTCAAAGTAAGAGTTAAGACACTAGAACAGAGAGAGAGATGGTTAATGATGCAGCCTGTAAAAAATAAGAACAGATGGACTGTACATGGAACAAGAGTCAAGAAAATCTGCAGTTCAGGAACTGTAGAAAAACACCAGAGTCCAGATAATGAAGACGACCGGCTGCAACCAACATACCCTGAGTGGTGAGCAAGACCTTCTCAGCATTGCTAGGCAACCCGAGCCAGGATGGAGTCTGAGTGTCAGGAAGCATCTCCACCCAGTGCATGAACTCCTCACGTCTGCAAGTAATCAAAATCAGAAAAATAAATGTTTCTGTTAAAGGTTATCAGAAAATATTCTGATAATATCTTAACATTTAGAAGGAAAAGCTAAAACCCAACAAATACTGACCGAATGCCGTCGGGCATCTTGATGTCTTTGTGTCCGTCCACCTTGAGAGCCAGTTTGAACTCGCTGTCAAAGCTTCCCTTGGTGAATATGCGTTCCAGGAAGGTGATGAGCAGCCGCTGGTCAAACTCATTGTCAATGCGGCCACCATAGATGGACTGGGCCATGAGTGTTTTCAGAGCCGCCCAGGGGATCTTGTCTGGTGCGATGTTCTGACGGCCCTGTGTGTGTTTGTATGTAAAGGTTTAGCATGGCAAGGAGGTTATAGTTTTTAAAACAAGCCGCTAAAGGTAAATTATCTGATAAATTTGATATATGTAAAGCTAACAACAGTGCAGAATTGTGGGTTGCTAATATACGTTTCTGTTAATTCAAATACAAATCATTCTTGTGCTTATGTACATGACTGTTGTAATCATCTCCAACCTTAGCAGTGTCATCCAGCCAGGTGTCGACGGTGTCACAAGCAGAGCGGAGATCAGACTCTCCAAATTCATATTTCTTGGACCAGCCGAGTG